TATCTATCTATCTATCTATCTATCTATCTATCTATCTATCTATCTATCTATCTATCTATCTATCTATCTATCTATCTATCTATCTATCTATCTATCTCCCACAGCCCCTGTATCCCAGTTGGCTGTATTAGTTAGGTGATGTAGAAAATGCTCTTTCTTTTTGTTCAGTGTCGACTTTAGACAATGATGAAATAGAGCGATGAGACGGACTCGGTATATGTCTTTCAGCACGAATCTGCTGACTCCTACTTGAGGCTAACTGAATGGCAGTTTCCACATCGCTCACTGTACCAAGCGAGGCAGAACTCGGTCTCCGTGCACTGCTTCGCGCTGCAGTGACTAACCAGAACCACGAGCCAGGTGCAGCCTGACTTACCCCGTCCTCTTGGAGACCTTGGTAACACAAACTCCCGTCTCTGCCCGTCGTTTCCTGGCTGGGTGACACCCCAGAGCATGGCCGCCGGCCGCTGGTGCGCTGGACAGCGGAATATCTCCCCGCACCCCCGGCAAAGGGCTATCGCACCCCTGGCTCACGCCTACATCCAGGCCACTTGGCACCCCTGTAGGCGAGCGGAGGGCTTTAAACTACGTGTCGGTCCCTGCAATTGCGAGCCTCACCCCACCGCCCGAGCGGTGCAGAATCGCCCGTGTGAACGGGACTCTGCCTTTCAAAACGCGGAGACACGGGCCAAGGCGGAAGCTTGTCCCGTCTCTTTCCGACGGCCTCGCCCTACCTACCGCGCTAAGGAGCCGCAGGGTGCGCGAGGAGGCTTGTTTTGTACTCCGGCCCCAGGAGAGCTGCGCTCCGCAGACGGGCACAGACGCCCCTCGCCGGTGGAACCGATGCAGCTGGGGACCAGCAGCCTCCTTACGCTTTGGTGCGTCACTTGCGCTCCCCCCAGACCTCAGCTCCCCCAGCTGCGAGATCATGGCAAGTTGAACGCTGGACCCGGCCCCTCGCGGGCGCCGGCAGAGCGGGGCAGGGGAAGCCAGCGCGGAGAATTGTACCGGCCTCACAGAACCAAGGAGCGTGTCTCACATGCCTGGCCCGATCCCTAGCGCCTGATCTGCTACCCAGTGGCATGGGGCCCGTGTCTCGCCGCCTGGGAGGGAGGGGAGCGAGCCGCGCTGTGAACATGAAACCGTGAGAACCTCGATGGAAAGACCTGGGGGCTTGTACCTGAGCAGCTGAAGTGATTTTCAAAATCCCATTGGGCACCAATCTGTCTGTTTAGCTACCTGAGCAAATCTGGCCCGTTGGAGGTTACGCTCAGTAGAGGTTCAGCAAAACATAGAAATCAGCTTTGTAATGGTGTTAGGTGCCAGTCTGAAACTTTAGGGAACTGGCCTTAGGCATCTTTGAAATTTGTACCCCAATATCTATCTATCTATCTATCTATCTATCTATCTATCTATCTATCTATCTATCTATCTATCTATCTATCTATCTATCTATCTATCTATCTATCTATCTATCTATCTATCTATCTATCTATCTATCTATCTATCTATCTATCTATCTATCTATCTATCTATCTATCTATCTATCTATCTATCTATCTATCTATCTATCTATCTATCTATCTATCTATCTATCTATCTATCTATCTATCTATCTATCTATCTATCTATCTATCTATCTATCTATCTATCTATCTATCTATCTATCTATCTATCTATCTATCTATCTATCTATCTATCTATCTATCTATCTATCTATCTATCTATCTATCTATCTATCTATCTATCTATCTATCTATCTATCTATCTATCTATCTATCTATCTATCTATCTATCTATCTATCTATCTATCTATCTATCTATCTATCTATCTATCTATCTATCTATCTATCTATCTATCTATCTATCTATCTATCTATCTATCTATCTATCTATCTATCTATCTATCTATCTATTTTGTGTCTGTTTGTCTGTGAGTCCATCCATCTGTCTGCGAATCAGTTTGTCCAAGACCTCCTCC